TAATTACAAATATATTTGTAAGTGATTTAATTGTGCAGAAAAATATGTCTACAATATCTTTCTTAAGATTACTTTATGACATTTGTAAGACGCATAGTGTGTTTTGGGGTTCTTTCATATATTTGACTCCTTATTTGGATAGATAACCATTAGAGAGTTTTAATAATTGAGTTACTTTGACTAACACCACCTAGTTATCACACTGATTACCAAAACTTAGGTCTTCTATCACCCAAGTGCTGTACCCCTACACTATTTTGCTTCTAGCTAAATTTAACAGAACTAGTCCTGTTGGTGTGACTAATGCAGCAGCTACAGAATTCTGATTTTTTAAAGAAAGAAATGTAACCTTATGCAGTACTACAGTGGTTGATGATGGGAACAGAAGTATAGCTTAAAAATGTGAATTGCAGCTTTTGGCATTATAAAATGCATATCCTGGTGAGGAATTCAAAATTTACAGTGGTGTTCACAATTACTATTTTACTCCTTTATAAAAGCTTGTTTAGTGGCATGTATCTTGTGGGTCAGAAGATTCTCTAAGCAACATACAATGTTTTGAGATCTCCAAGAACATGGATTGCGTTTTAAGACAGGCTGTGATTATGCAGCAGTATTTGAATCGAAATACATCTTAAAATTTTTTTTTATAACTATAAATACATTTGGAAAAGCTATAGCCATACTGTTAAAATCAGAGTCCCCAAAGTTTGATACCAGAAGCATTTTGTTTTCTGAGACCAAATCTAATGTATTAATAAGACATAGCACATTCTTCAGAAATTCTTATCATGAAATAAATCTGAATTATATTTGGGAACAAATGGTGATATCAACTTTTTCTCCTTGCAGGCAGGAACATTTGCAGTAAATGCACTATATTCATATGTCCATTCAGGAAAAAAACCCACTTTAGTTACCATCTGGCTTGACGTAGTTAAAAAGCTTAGCTGAAACTATGAACAAAAAGCTGCTTGCAACCAATCCACATATTTGTTTGAACACTTTTCTATATAACATTGTGCTCAGTAGAAGCACCTTCAGAATTTGTAGTTATGAATCCAAGAATTTGATTTCATATCTTTTTCTAAATATACAGCTTATATATTTTGGTTCCTGGTGGGGTCTTGGATTTGTTTGTTTGTTCTGTCTGTGATTTTTTTTTTGTGCTGTGCATTTACTTCACAGTATAGCAGTATTAGTAGAGGAAACTAACTTTAAACTCTAATTTGCCTGTCTGAAATCTATGCCATATAAACAATTCATTTTGGCCCACATCTGCTTAGTGTTTTCACCTTTTGAGAATAGGTTATTAGAATAGCTACAGCACATAAATGTCATTTATGAAGTAACAGGGGAAAATACCAGACGGTATTTTGCTGTAACAATGTGGTTACTTCAAAGCTCATGGTGTTACTGCTACTGTGTAGTATCCTGGTCATGGTAGCTAATGACAACACAGAACCCTGCTGTGCTTCATTTTTGGGGGGTTTCTATAAATCGTGCAAAAACTTCACTAGAATTATAATGCTGTTTGCAGGCCTGAAACTTTTGAATACTTATCTTTTTCCTGATAATTTCTTTGTGGAAAGATTTTTTAATACTACACATACACATATTTTTTGCTGTGTGTACTGTCTAGTGTATTTACATAATACACTTCCCAAAATCACTTGGTAATGCTGCAAATCAGTTAGTAACCATACACAGTTTTTACAAGTTTTAAATTAGTGCATCAGAATAGATACACATAGACTCTTGATATGTAGTGTAATTGAGAAAAAAATCTTCAGTTCTCTGAGGAAACAAAAATAATGTCAAAACAGAGGTAATGAGGGGCAGTAGAATCATTTACAGTATTTTTCACCATTTGACAGAGCAAAAATGGGATGAAACGTGGAACAGAGGGTTGTGTTGCTATTCAGAGGTGCATTGACAGGCTAGATAGAGAGGAATGTCATGAAGTTCAAGAAAGACAAATGCGAAGTCCCTCATCTGGTGAGGAGCAACCCCCTTCACTAGTACAGCTTAGTGACCTAGAAAGCAGCTCTGCAGAGAAGGTACAGGAGGACAAGTAGTTGACCATGACTAGTGATACACCCTGATTACAAACCACTCAAACAGCCTCTTGGGCTTCATTAGGAATAATGAAATGATGTGATCCTTCCCCTTTACTCAGCCCTACTTTGCATAGGTGAGGCCACATCTGGAATACTACATCTGGTCCTGGGCTCACCAGTAAAAAGGAGTATTGAAAATAATGGAGTGAGTCAAGACCACAAAAATGGTGAAGAGACTGGAGCATCTGTCATACAGGGAGAGACTAAGAGACTTGGAACTGTTTAACCTGGAGAACAGAAGGCTTAGGAGGGATCCTTTCAATGTGTATAAATAGTGGGGAGGAGGAAGGAAAGACAGTAGAGTCAAACTCTTCTCTGTGGTGTCCTGTGACTTAACAAGCATCAGTGAGCACAAATGGGAACAAAAGAAATTAATTTTGAACATAAGAAAATGCTTTTATGCAGACATAAAATGGAAGACAAAAGGACCTGAGTTTCTCAATGATATAGTGAAAGGTGACTTGGTCATACCTACTGACAGCTCATGCTCACAGTCTCTGTTTCATGTCATTTTAATCTTTATGCTCTATGCTATTCTGTGTACTCAATCATTAAGAGATATGCAAGATTATTTATTAGTGCTTTGAAAACTGTCTATTTGCAGTAACATATTAAACTATTTTAGCACTAGAAGTATCAAATATTGTCTGCCAATATAGTGAAAATTGTATTCTAATACTACTGTGATGGTAGTCAGGTTTGGGAAATAACACCAAATCATCTTTTTTAGACTTCAAATGCTTTGCGCCTTAAAAAGATCTCTGCCTATGTATGGCTCTAGTGATTGAATTGTTTTAGAGAGAGTGTCCAATATTCAAGGGATGTGAAAAAATTGAAGCATCCAATGTAAATCTCTTAAGAAGCTACATATACAACTCCTCAGTTCTTTTGAAGATTTCAAATACAATTTTTAATATCTTTTTCAGGATACTGTTTCAAATGCTAGTATGAAATAGAGGAAAAAATGCCTATCATTTTGTCATGGAACCACTCTGTCTTCTTTCATTAGCTTGAATGAAGATGCTGGCATTTAAAGCAAGCTACGTCTCCAGGAGGCAATCTGCCTTCCACTTGCACTTAATATTTCCTCAAAAGTAATTTGAAATAGGCAAATAAACAATCACAAAATTTCAAGTAATTGCTGTAGTTAATTTTGACATTTCCTATTAATTATGTTTAATAAGACATAACAGGTTTCCGTTTGTTTCATTATATTTAATTTGATAAACTTTTAAACATTGGAGAGGTTTCTGAATGGAGTGCCAAGTCCTAAACATTTGAGAATGAGAGATTTCACACTTTGCATTTGTTTTTCTGACTCGCTATATATTATATTTTTTGTCTTATGAACATTATATAAGCACCAGATCTCAGCATTTTAACCATAAAATACTTACATAAGAAATGGGTCAAGCAGTTTAGGTTGACCTATGAGTATGTTTTTTTCTGGTATTACATTTCTTACCCAAAGCCTGTTTAAGTCAAAAGATTCTTACTGACAAGGCTATTTTGGAGATGAGCTAAATGTAAACCTGTCTCATTCCTCAACAAGTGTTAGCATTGAAATCAGGGAGGAATTAGTCACTATTGCTGATTTTCCTAACTGTGGTGTATTTCTGCTCAGTTGTGAGAACCTGAACTTCACTAAGTAGGGTTCTTGCTTTATTTTAATGATTTGGAAGTTAACCATCACTGTTTAACAAGTCTTTATAGACTCTTTATGTGCTTATTGTAGATAAATATGCACCTCTACCATGAGATAGGAATGTAAAATGGATGGACTTATTTGGAGAAATGTAGGTGCTTAATGATTATACTTAGGTAAGACTGAATCCCACTTTTTATTTAAATTGTCATAGTTTCACTCCAAAATTAATCTCTAATTATTTCTGTAAGCATGTGTCAAAATAAGTAGCTTGTTTTGAATCTGTCAGTAAAGAATTCTTGACATAGAATGTTCAATAAGTATTAGCCACTGGAAATATTTGAATTCAAGTCTCTCCATTCCATATTGAGTGCTCTAGTTACCAGCATGCAGAGATATTTTTGTCTTTTCTTTATTTAACCTGTAATTGTTCTATACATTGAGAAACAATTTTCATAGGAGAGCACCTCATTCCAGACTAGGTTATAACCTGGTGATCAAAGCTCTTTTCATGAGATAGATGCATATTTCCTCAGTCAAAGGATGTATTGAATCTTGTCGTCTTCCATGTTAAAGGAAAACAATACCAGAATTACGCAAACTGAAAGGGAAGCAGCACTTCTTAATGTACTCAGAACTCTGGCTGCCTCAAGAAAAAGTGGTATCTGAGTAGGGTTTTGTAAGATCTAAGTTGTGTGTTTGGGAACTACACTGAAAATTAAGTGTGTGCATTTAGCACAGTGCTTCTGCTGGCTTGGTCATCTGCCTCAGGTTCAAGATTTTTTCTAAGATGTTTCCTCATCTCTGTAACTTCTCCAGGAAAGTTATCTGAATGTTTAGATTTTAAATCCAGCAGAGATTTGGTACTGGTAAGGATATTTCAGAGAGGTGACACATTTTCAGTATGTCTCACAGCTTCTGGTGATTCCTTATTTATATCTTGCTGAAGTCTTATTTCCTGTATCTGTGTTAGAATTCAAAGAAAAAATAAAAATCTAGTTCCATGCTTGATTTTCAAACATGACATTAACAAAAATTATCTCCTCAGTACGAGCTCTTTCTAATATAGCATTGAATGTGTTTATATTTCCATTCTATTGTTTATGAATAAATGCAGATAAATAGTGGTAAAACAAACTGGAATCTATTGTGAGGAGAGTGAATTACAATAGTACTACGAGCTCACTGTTAATCTTTTCTTCCTATCTTGGTATTGCAGTCTAGAATTACCATCTGGAAGGATCATGGTACAGCAGGTCGGTATATAGAATTAACAGAAAGAAATGACTGATCATTTACTTTATGATGCTGCTACGATAAATTCTCTGTCCACTGAGAGTGAGGGTTAGAACTGGAATTTTTTTTTTCTCAGATATATATGACTATAATTTCTATAATGGATTTCTTATTCTAGAGGCTTTGTTCCCTGTTTTTAAGGTCTATTAAGTAACTTTAATTTTTGCTGTTATAACCATTTTTAAAATTAGTATTTTTATTATCTCTAACCTTTCGAAGTAATATTTGCACCCATATAATTGTGGGACTAGATATATTTGACTACTAATTTAATTTTTCCTTGTTTAGAGGCCTAGCAAATAGAAAAATCTGTGTTAATTTTGAATTTTATATATAACTGTCTGTTCGTCCTTCCTTTCTCTGAAGCCGGTCATGGACAGCTTAAATATGTGTAGCAAATTATTTATACAGAGGACTAGTACTATGACTTTGGCTAATTCCCATTTGTCTGCTAAATGGAAAGAATAATTGGGCAACTTGATAAAGTATTATTTACCACTGAGGACAAAATTTTGCCTCTCTGGGGTAAACAAATCATTAGGCTGACTTGAAAAGCATCTCTTTTATTTGTAAAACCTGAATGGTGGTCTCCTGTATAAATAAATGAATGACCTTCTAGAAGCAAGCATATATCACCAACTTGTGTCAAAGCTCATGTGTATGCTGTGTCAGTGTATGTCTTATTTATTGATTGATACAAGATGATGGAAAGCTAATAGCTGACTTTGTGTTATGGCACTTTTCAGTATGAAGTTACTGATTCGTGTTGATTAAAAGAAACATTAATTTAGCAATCCCAGCTTTATAGAATTGCTAGTTTTCCATGAGTTACAGATTTTTTTCCCAAGATTTCAGCTATTCACTTTCTCAGCATACCTTGTCATTTGGTACTCATCTGCAGGATACCCATTTTTTTTGTCTCATTCTGCACTGAATTCTGCTGAATGTGTAATTCTTTTAAATGTGCTGGCATACATAGACTATTACTATGTTTATTTGGTGCACAACTGCTTGTTAAGTCATGGTAACCGAGTTACATGTCCTCAGTTTCTTTAACAATTGTCTTTTAATCAATCCATGGTTCCAGATTTTTGAAAGTGGGATAGTTATTTTGCAGGAGTGAAGCAGGGAGTGGTATTGCTATGTTTTTGTCATGTGTCTAGTGTGAAGGGAGTTTTTTCCAGTGTAAGGGAAGTACTTCTTGGGTGCTGCTAGAATACAACTGGAAGCAGTATTTTTGTCCTGGATCACATATATTTATTTTTTACTTATACAACATACTATGGAGATGAGTGTATGGAATCCATAATGTAAAGACAGAGATAGTGCAGGAAGGAGGATGTATGCTTGCAACTTCTGTCTGGAAAATATAAAAGGAAGATAATAAATACTGAATACTCTTAGCACAGTGTAAAGAAGTAAATAGGGTTAGCAAAATTTTTCTTTTGTAATCCCTTTAGATAAGCAGAATATTTTACTCAGTTGGATCCCTAAATTCAGCTTCTATTACATCTGAGGATTTTTTAGATGTTGACAGATATTTTTAGCAAACTTGTGTATATAATTTCACACATCACCAGCATATTAAAACCACTGAATGATGGGCAAACTGGTATAAGAAGCATAATAAACGTTTTGCAAACTAGATGATCTCCTGATATAGAACAGTTATTTCAGGTAATAACATAAAACTTATAAGGAGGAATTTTCTAATTATTATCCAACTGTAGTAACATTTCAGGTACTTTCCAAACATGATTTTATGGTGATGCATGAAAAGGGAAGGCGGCACACAAGAGAATAACAGTCTGAGGCAAACTGACATACAAAGGGAATAACTGATCTCCTTTGGACATTGCAGATTAATGCATTTAGAAGAAAAAAAAAAGATGGATTACATTTCATCTTTGAAAAGATTTGACAAGCTGAATATACAGGAGCCATATAGTATTTGTAATTGCAAAAAATCATATCATTTATAAACATTTAAGTCTTGAACATACAATCAACTTGGATAATAACCTAGTGAGAACATGTCTTTTTATTGTTTCTGTCTGATATACAGCTGTAAAATTGGCCCAAAAATGCTATTTATCAGACATGAAAATATTCATATGAAAACTAATGAATGAAGCATATAGTGTAGACAGCACATTCAGCATGAAAATGAAACATTTTTTTCCTTCTGAGATTCTCAGGAAGTGGAAGATGTGAATGGAAATGTCATGCTTCCATAATGCTAACATAATTAGCATAATTGCCTAGGATAACTATGTTTTTGAATATCTGTATTCCTCAAAGGTTTTTAAAGCGCAGGGAAGTTGAAAACAGGGTTTAAAATGTCTTGAGAGTGTTTGCAGTGGTCAACACAAGTTATGTGACTGAATATTTGGTATCTCTGATTGAATTTGCAGTTACTGGTCTGTGTCTAACAGCCACATCAGTTTATTCAACTGCTGATGTGTATGTCTGGTATTATGGACTACCGCAAATTAGATGAATCTCGAGTTTTAAGGCTAACATGACTTAGAGCACTTCCGTTTATGACTTCAAAATCTTCTTAGCATTAATCTTTCCAGACAAATATTCTCTTAGTTAGCTGATGTAACAATGCTGCCTGGTCTTTCTATTTCACCGAGGCCTACTCACCGTGAGGTCTGTAGACATTTTCCATTCAGTGTGAGGGTGAAGCTTAATCTATGCTTTTTGATTATATGGCCCATGGAAGTACTGTCGTGATTTGTCACATAAACCCTGACTCCGTAGAAAGCATTACAGTCCTTTATGCTCCTACCAGATATTCTGTACATACTTTTCTGGAAACTAATGAAATAATGTAAATAAAAAAGATATCATCAATCCTAGAAATCTGTGTTTAATCATTTGATGCTCTTTCAGTTTATGAATCTGAAAGATCCTTGTGATGTCACTAAATTAATTTTTCTTGTTTCTTGTTCTTCAGCTGAACAATTCCAGGTACGAAGCAAAAAACAAACAAACAAACAAACAAACAAAACAAAACCCCCAAACCAATAAAACCTGGGATTTTGTATTCTGTGCATGTTTTGAAAACATGAGTTACTTCCAGAACTCCTTTCTGGGAAGCTGTATAGTATTATTACTACTGTGTGGAGTACGACATTAAAACCTAAGTATACACTTTCTCACATGGAAATTGCTAAACTTCTTAGCAGGTGATAGTTTTGACCTCAGGGAATTGGTAGCCTGAAATCCCCTTCAATAGATTATTACATCTAATGGAATGAAGTTTGAATAAAAGAAGTTCCTCAGCATTCTCTAGTGGTAGACTTGTGGCAGAAGTTGAACCTATTAATTTGGTGACACTTTACCTTGGCAAAAGAGGAGCTGAGATACATCTATATAGTCAAATACACACAATCTGAAAGTGGATTCACTTATATTTCAAGATGTTGGGATGCAAGCCAGTTTTCTTCTGGCAGCCATGTGGGACTGTACAAAGCCTGAGCTAAGTAATTCATCTTTGCATTGTGACCATGTAGTCGTGTCTACAAAGAGATGGGCTTGTTTACAGGGGAACAGATTGTACCCAGGTAGTAACTAACTCCAGCTAGTATCAAAGGAATTTCATATTTGACACTGAGTATTGTATGTGGCACAGAATAAGTGCTCTAAAGAAATTAATCTCCTTGGCAGTTCATCATTGAAAAACTGTTCCTGTGTGTTTTTAGATCACTGCATACTTTACCACTATTATAGGAATCTGCTGTATCATTAATCATATATAAAGTTATTTTCCTGGAGCCTTGGCTGTATTAAAGTAATGAAAATACCTGGTAAAATATGAACACATCATCCATTACTGAGGTGTTGTGACATCATTTGATGCTATTTTTTTCCTAGTAGGGCATAGAGTAATTCACTTTCGTCTGAGATTGCATCCAAACTTTTCAGTACTGTAGGCCTAAAATGAGGCAGCCTGTGTACCAGGTCTTACATCAGATTTGTTCAGCCCATGGATGTTGTATAATCTTTTAGAGATCCCATATGCATGTAGATATTTAATTTAGAGATTATAAAAGCTTTATTTAATAGATTCAGGTTATTTTAAATTTGACATCTTAGTTCATTACAATATCATTATCCTAGTAACATTATACTGGCCTAAATATAGGTATATAGGTTATAGATTTTTCTTAAAAATTAAATTCTGGGTAGTTCAATTTACTCTTAAACTGTCTTACAGTGTTATGCCACTAGTATCATGTGCTTACTGGTGTTCCTACTGAGTGTCTTCTGCCACTGAAGAAAGAGTGTAAGTCTTAGGCAGCGCTATGTGTTCCCCAACACTCAACCTCACCCACCTCCCCAGGGGAGCTGCTTCCTTCCACCTATCAGAACCACACACCTCCATATAGGGCTCAAGGCGCTTGGTGAGTGGAACTGAAATGAAGTTGGACTATTGTATTGTGTCTAAGTTAGGAGAAAAGGTAGGAGTTTATTGAGAGAAGTTTATAGAGGGGAGAAGTATTTTATTTATTGTTATGACTTGCATTACCTTTAATTCCTCTCCTTCTAAATGTGATCATCTTAGATTTCCAGCAGGCTTGTAAGTGGTGTGGTGTGGTAGTTAAAGTATGTGGCTTCTTACCCCTGTTGTGTTGGAATATTACCCTACTGCCCACAGAATGCTAGGTAAGGGAGAAGGGTGAGTAATGAACAGTACAGAGTTAACAGTTTCCAAAGAAAAGAGACAACATAGTGATAAAGGAAATAATTCGACTGCTGCTTAGTGAGTCTAATGCTACCCCTGGAAATGCATATTTATGACTAATGTGTAAATGAAACAGCCATCATTGGCTCTGACTAGGTGTAAAGCTGGCAAAAATACACTACTCTTGAATGGAAACATCAAGAGGAATGCTATTTTTATAGTGATTTACTGGAAAATTCCTTGAAGAAAAACAATTCTTTTGCATAGAACATTTGATGCTAATGCCACAAGAATTTTTTTAGCTGTGGAGTTTCCATCGAGGTAACTCTCTAAAATTTAAAAAACTCTCTTAAATACTTTCCTTTCAGTTACATGTAGACAGCCCAAATATGGCACAGGAGATTATTTTGATTTTATTAATAACTCTAAATAATACTCAGAGAAGAGGAAGGATAAATCTCAAGGCTAAGCAAACATTATTGCAGTGAAAGATATTGCAAGGCAGAAAAGAGTGTGAGGTAGGATGCCAAAGACAAATACTTCACAGAATGATTATTCTTTAAGCAGATGGTGCATAGAGAACTAGACTGATTTTTGTGGTACCGTAAGTATTGAACAGCACATGTTGTTCTAAGGATGAAGACATTTGCCATCCCCAAAATTAAGGGGGAAATGTGTCATGCTATAACTATTGAGCTGTCTGAGTTATTTTTAACTCAGTTTATTAAGAAAAGATGGGCACAAACCACAGCAATAAATCTTTAGGATACATACATCCAAGGCTCATTTGCATTCAAGGTCATAACAAAGTTCAGCAAAAAATGCAGATTTCAGCAGAACAGTTCTTCATGTATCATTGATTGCTGTGTTTCTTTCCTTTTTTAGGCAGCACTAAAGAATAATGATGATTATTATATCATGGTGGATATGATGTCCATATTTGTCTTTCAGTATTTGTCACATGCCCACTTGTAGCTTTCTAGTTAGAGTGGAGAACATTCAATACTGAACTTCACAAATTTATTAAAAAAAACAAAGTAGCTGTTGAGTCATAAAGAATATTCATTCTGAGAAGGCATTCACACGGCTTGATTTTTTACGTTCAACAAAAATGCCTTGTACAGAACCTTATCTTCCTGTGTCATGAATGAGAAAAATTATTTTATTTGTGATTATAGTTTAGGACTTGGGAGCTTGTCCTGTATCTGACTCTGGTGTGCATCTTCACTAGATTCATATTATATTTCAGTGATCTGATTTCTGTGGCAAAATCAAAGTATTAAAGTAGTCTTCAGCTCATATAGGACATTAACTTTCTCCATTAATTTTATGTGGAGACAAGCATCCCGCCTTAGTCATTTAATTTAGGTTTTAAGGTTAATCAGTTAGACATTTAGGTACCCTCTGAGCAGTAGTTATCCATATCACAAATCTGGATAATTTAATTTATGTGTGATTTTAGATGGCATAATTTTATGTCTTTTTATAGCTCAATCAGAGGATAAATGGCAGTTATGTAGGCATACTAAAAAGTAAAATTTGAAATATACCAAGTCTTTGATGAAAGCTAGAGTGAATTTCATGGTTTATTGAAACAAATTGGCTTATTTTAACATGAAAACACTAATTTAAAACAAAATCTATTTAGTGTTTTCCCATTTAGTCTTTCTATCTTAAATATCTTGTGGCTAATAATTTGTTTTCTCTCTGGAGTGCATCATTGTGGTCCTTTTGCTTACTGATGCCACTTCTGTTGTGTGATAACTGCACTGTGTCTCCTTTAATTTTATTTTTATGTCTGGCAGTATGTAGCTTTTGTGTTTCTGAGATTCTAGTCCTTGGATAACATGGTTAGAGTGGATGAGAGAATTATTCTTCTGAAGTCAGAGAATCATTTCCTTCATATAAGAAACAGTACTGCAGGGAGACTACTAATCTGATAGTTACTGTATATTTTTATATAAATACAGATACATTCCTCCTTGTGAAGAAATCTCAGAAGGTATGTTTATTATTGCTATCACTACTAAAAACTTCTGGAAGAAAACCAAATAATTAAAGCATCCATCAGCAATGAAATCTCTAATCATCTAGTCTCTGCATTAGATAACACTGACTGAAGGACACAAGACAGTGTATGAGGCTAAGTCACTCTAACTCTACTCTTATAAAAATAAAATGAAAAAACAGGAAATTTAAGCAAAAGCATTGTATGAAATATGAGTAAATGTTTTGTGAAACAGGGAATATAAATATAAAGTTCTTAATAATAAACCAGGAAATAATACTGGCCAGTTAAACAGAAATGAAAATTTTCTTTTGTCTTTTTTTTTTTGTATTCAGTTAAAGTTAAAATCCATGTAAAGCAAACCCTAAAGGCAATTTCATTTAATTCCTTCAACAAGTTTTACTTTAAAAGAAGATTCTTACAAATCCTTTGAGTCTCTCTCTCTGCAGTGCCAGAAAGATATAATGTATATAATGTGAACAAAGACAGGCGAGGATGTGGTGTGTCAAATGAACCTGTCTCTTAAGTATGCTTGTGCATCTCTAAAATTGCTTTTTTTCTCTCTGAAAGACTGATGATATATTTTGCATATGAAATATTTTCCTGCCAGTGGTATTTTGCCAAAATAAAAATTTCCCAGGAAAAGTGGTACTTTTTTCAGGAAATTTCTGTTTAGTTCTGGGTCAGTTCAACTTTAATCTCCCTATTGCCTGAGTCACTTTCTTCTTTGGTCTTTCATGCTTGTTGCATTATATGGAAAGCAGAGGACCCAGATGTACCACAAAACATGTGCCCAATTGTGTCCTGCCTCCATATTTGGGTAAGTGAGAAAGATTGCTACCGTCACGACAGTTTGGTTTCCATGGACAGAACATCTACGCATGAAGATTACACAGAAGCATGAGGTGCTTGAACTGGACCCCTGATGAACCCAATGTTATGCTGCAACAAACATGCCTTTACCCTTAACAGCCTCTTAATATTTACCTTTGCATCTGTACATTTAAGAAGGGGCAGTACAGGGGCTGATGATTAGCCTGCCACCACATATAAGCATGACCTTGCATGGCTTTCATATTACTTACTTGGGTAGAAATAGCAGTGAAGATTGCTGAGGATTGCTTGTGCAAACTAGCAAATATAGGGTCTCTGGAGCACTGTTGCCGCTTCATTGCTATTATCTCTGCTACATAGATGGAAGCTGCTTTGAGTATGTCTGTGTCTTTTGTAGTTATGTGCCAAATTTTTCCATAGCCAAACTTTACTCTCATCTGTATTTGATATATTATTTTAGTACAGAGTGACTCAAAACCTTTAGTCTCTTTTTCTTCCTTCCTTCTCTACCAGCGATGCAAATGATTTTCCCTTAAAAAGAAGGAAACCGTGATTTTACATTGCACTACAGCCTAACTAATAAATCTTCTGGAAAGTACAGCAGCAATCTTAAGTGCTTATAAACCAAACTGCACCTAAGGTGGCACCGTACAGAGCCAAGTTGGAAAGTCTTAACGTCTGCAGTTTGGATAAACTAGGCAGGGATATTTCAGAACTGATTGTATTTTGACTTTTGCAGCTGTAACAACTTAACCACTCAGTATAAGTCATAATGCTGCAACACTTACTCCACTATATGGGTTGAAACAGTCCCTTGTTGCATAGAACGGGTGAACCGTGCCCTTTGAAAGTGTGAATTGGAAGCATTATTAGATGATGTCACTTAATTTTCCCTTGCTTTACAACTTAACTATTACTCATGAACTAGTCAGGGTATATTTTTTTTTAACATGTATTTTATGTCAGCTTAAAATGTGTAGAATTAAATACATTGAACAGAAGTCTAGCACTTTTACTGATACGTTCATTCATTCCTCACTGTTCAGCAGGCAGAAATGTTGTGGTTATTAGACTTATTTAATAATTTAAGCACCTCACAGAGCTGAAACTGGGTAAAGGTGAATATACTGAAGACACAGTTCAAAAAAACAAAAACCCCAAACAATCTACTACTACTTCTTTGAAGTGACTGAACACTGAAGTGTATAATTTTTAGCAATAAAAGCCTCTAGACATCTTGCTGTTTTTGTGAAACTCTCAAGTTGCCTTGGGTTAAGTCATTTAGCACTTATCTCCCAAATAAACCCACTTAAAATGTAGATGCTCCTGCTTCTGTATATAAACATGTATTCATACACACACTCACATATATATCTATAATTATTCATCAGATGAAAAAAATAAATGATCTTTATAGCAGAGACCAGATACAGAGCTCTTCCTTTACAGCTAAGAATGCCACAGCCAATATATAGTCATGTGGAGTCTTGGTCCATCATTGCATTGTAGCAAATCTTGATCTCTGTTTTACAGAGTGGTGTGGTGAATACTCCCTGTAGAAGGCTCACTACTAGGATATCCATGTGGAGAAAAGGATTCAAATTATCTGATGATGAAAATAATTAGAACAAGAGAGTACATTTTAAATATCTCTGGGAACAAATACTTTATCAGAATTGTATGCACAAATAGCCTATCTCTGTTGGAAGCTTATTGACATAAAAGTTGTTTTGCCTTGGTTTGAAAAAAGTGGAACCAATAAATAAGATATTTTTATAAAGAAGATTACAGGAAAATCCTAGCCATGTGGGAAAAAGCTCTATGACAATGAAAGAAGAAACTTAGTAAAGTGCTACTGTCTTTCTCTCAAATGTCTGTTCAACAGATCAGTGCAGTTAATTACCAAAGGCTTCAAATGGGATGATAAACAAGGAAGTATATGGCCCACAAACATAATTAGGTAAGTTTAAGTGTGCTTATGCTAAGTTTAGGCTAATATATGAGCACTATTTTATGATTGTCTGGACTGTTAAGTTTTCTCTGTGGTCCTTGACATGGTAGTGGCCTAAGTGAAACATGTAACACCCAGGCATTACACAATAAATATTCAAGGTGTAACTGCTTTGTTTTGGGTCTAGGCAGGTAAGAGAGTTTCCTACACCACTTGTCATCAGGACCAGAGCACAGTCACCAGAATATTTTATTTTAAATGTGGATATTACTTCTGTGACCCTGAATTGAAGGCAATGATTTTTAAAAAAATTATTGATCAAGTAAAATTATATTTAGTATATAAGTGTATATAAACATTCTTAGGTCACAAAAACCCCATGCTGTGCTACAGACTTGGGGCAGACTGCCTGAAAAATGGCCCAGTATAAGGGGACCTTGGGGTGCTGGTTGACAGCCAGCTGAACATGAGTAAGCAGTGTGCCCAGGTAGCTAAGGAGGCCAATGGCATCTGCTTGTGGCCAGCAGGACCAGGACAGTGATTGTCCCCCTGGACTTGGCACTGGCGAGGCCACACCTTGAATCCTCTGTTCAGTTTTGGGCCTCTCACTACAAGAAAGACATTGAGGTGCTGGAGCATGTCCAGAGAAGGGCAATGGAGCTGGTGAAGGGTCTACATAGTAAGTCATATGAGGAGTGGAAAATATTCCCACCTGAGGAAGCTGGGAATATTTACCCTGGAGAAAAGGAGACTCAGGGGGGATCTTATTACTCTCTACATCTTCCTGAAAGGAGACTGTAGTGAGCTGGGGGTCAGCCTCTTCCAACAAACAATAGGACAGGACGAAATGACCTCATGGAGTGCCGGGAGAAATTTAGATTGGATATTATGAAAAATTTCTTCACAGGAAGGGTGTTCAGGGATCAGAACAGGCTGCCCAGGGAGCTGGTTGAGTCACCATCCCTGGAGGTGTTTAAAAGATGAGTAGATGTGGCGCTGAGACATCGTTTAGTGGTGGACTTGGCACTGCTGGGTCATCTAGTTGGACTAGATGATCTTAAAGGTCTTTTCCAGCCTAAATGATTCTGTGTTTCTATATTTAAATGTATAAAGAACAGATTCAGGTTGTAAAGTCAAGTACTCAAAAGTTAGACAAAGTGTATTTATTGTGGTTATAAACCCTGGAGAGTGGGGGGTTTTCTGTTTGAAGTGTTTCAAAAAATGATCAGTTTCAGTAGCATTTGCAGTCTTGCAAATGAATATCCTTGCAAGTGAAAAATGAACTCTCAAGTAATTCTGGTTTTGTTTTCAAAATAGAAGAATTCCATTTTAAGATTTGAAATAACTTGCAATTCTAAGTCAATGAAAGCATTATTAAAATGGAAGAAAACAACCCTCTGAGTTGAAACTCTTTGTTGGCTCTTTTATGAAATATTTTTATCAGTTAAATTCCATTTCTTATTTTTGGGTAAAGCCTACAATTAGTTGTCATGTCTAAAAGGCTGACCTCCAGTGCCTGGCCTAGAAGCACATAAAAATTTTGTGGCAGACTGGGGAATAAATGTCTGATTTTGTAGGGTGTTTTTCTTTTGCTTAACTCTTCAGACCCTCCTTTTTGTATCTGCAAGATTGTGTCTGAGTCACGACACTATAACAAAAAGTACCATACAATAAATAATTAAAACATCCTAGGAAGAATGCCTTTTTTCTGTATTTTTGGTACTATGTCATACCTAGTTGTAGGTGACATGCTATTATTTAAACAAACAGTCCTCAGAAAGGCTGTGATTGAAGTGTAATTTAGGACCAGTGGTGTAAGTACAGTAATAGTCATCTGGTTAGACAACAATTTCAGGAGACTAACTTACCCTTTTTCAGCCTACCTTTGTCCACTGTAGGCACGGTGAATACAGTGGTCAAAGAAAGCTTTTCAAGTAGATGGTAGATATTTCCTATGTGCTACCTCCAAGAATGAGATGCGGGATAGGACAGACTTGTTTGAAAATTTACCAAGTACACACTGAAAGTTAGTTTTATGAGCTGTTTGAAAACAGGAGTCACCCAGCAGGAGTGAATAAAAGATGGTAAGTAAGGTGGTGGGGCCACAGATGGTTTTTAAAGTGAAAGCAAGTAGCTTGTGCAATTTTCATAGAGAAACCAGAGCCCATATATTAACCAGCTGCAAGATACTACGTAAACAGGTTGAAATATGCTCGTAAAAGAGGTCTTAGAAATTAAGGAGGCACAGGTGCTGGTGTTTTTGCCCCACTTACTTATTAAATAGTTATTAGATATCAGCAAAGAGTTTGTTATTATTATTTGTCTAACATAAGAGATGTGCAAATCAATATTGTAATTGGTACAGTCCTGAAAGACAAGGCTTTGATGATGTCAACCTCAGTCAAGAGAGGAAGGAGAAATGAAAGCTTATGGAAGGAATTCTGATTTGTTTTTGTTGATGAATATACACTTGTGGGGAGATATCAGAAGAAAGAAATTGGTGTTTGTGTAGAAAGCAATAAGGCTGACTACATCTGCCAATATCTGACTTTGTCGCTTCTGGAGGAGATTATTTAGGTAAGTCTGTGGAGAGGGAAGAGTGATGAGTTGAGAGACCCATAGTACATTCATAAAATGTTGAAGGAATGCATTTTCATGGAAAAGGTTTCTAAAGAGGACAGCTGATGAGAACAAGTGGCTAACAAAACTTCAAGATTACTTACTGAACCGGAGACACTTTAGGAGCATAATGTATTTTAGGGGTAGTTTTAGCTAAGAAGAGATAATCGGTCATTTGGATATGAACAGATTTAATCTGCGAAATCAAAGAGAGAAGATGAACTGGAGAAATGGTAGGTGGAAGAAGGGATCTTCTAACAGTGACTGTAAGCTGAACATTGAACGCTTAAAAAAATATAATGAAGATGGGCTGGTAACTGCAAGGGAAATAGGCAAGAATCGAGGTTTGTAAGGATAAGTGGTTTTTTGCATCCTTAATTTGACAAAGAAGAGACAGAGAGAAGGAGAAGACAGAG